ATGTTATATATAAGTAATACATCAGACTCTTTCTAAAGGGCTCTCTCTTTCTTTCTCTTTCTCTTCCTCTGTCTGTCTGCACATCCACACAAGCGTGTACGTGTGTGTGTGTGTGTGTGTGTGTGTGTGTGTGTGTGTGTGTGTGTGTGTGTGTGTGTGCGCGCGCGCGCGTGCGTGCGTGCGGACATACGGATTACATGCTTATTTAGATGCCACGTATGAATAATATATTTGAACATGCTTGTACACATGGGTAGGACAGCAGTATAATCATATCTTCACAATGCTAGGAGGAATTATTTTTTTGAAATACAAAGTTCTGTTTAAAAGTTATTTTCTAAATCTACTTAGATATTCTAAATCTACTTAGATAGATAGATAGATAGATAGATAGATAGATAGATAGATAGATAGATAGATAGAGATGATTATAGAGTTCAAAGCTATGTGATCACTACATGTACGAGTGTATATTCTATCTGCGCGACCACTCTGTATTTCATTGTCGATTTCCACTTCATTATTATTATAATTATTTTGATTATTGCTGGATTCAAACCCCACTCTTATTGATCTCCGTTCAGATGATGACCCCCTTGAAGGCATCAACAACAGGCTGGAGGAGGTCCAGTCTATGGTCAAGCCAAAAGCGGAACTGTCTGGATTTATCGAAGATATGGATCCCGAGCAGAGAGAGCGCATTTATGTTAGTGATTGTTTGCGCGTTATACCAAGTGCAAACTGCTAATCTTTCTTCTTTATACCCAGTTCAAACTGCTCGTTCGATTGTTTGTTATACGCAGTGCAAACTGCTAGTCTAATCGATTGTTCGTTACACCCAGTGCAAACTGATAATCGTTTCTTCGTTATACCCAGTGCAAACTGCTAGTCTAATCGATTGTTCGTTATACCTATTGCAAACTGATAATCGTTTGCTCGTTATAATATCCATGCAAACTACTTATCCTTTGCTCGTTATATACCCAAATGCAAACTGCTAATCAAATTCAGTCGTATTGAAACAGGACCAATCAGCTTTTCCTCCATATGTGGGGACAAAAGGTACCACTTTGCCAAAATTTGATTAAATTCTCCAAAATTATGCATATTATTTGGGTTTTGGGGTGGGTTTTTTGGGGGGTTTTTTTTTTGGGGGGGGGGGGGGGGTTTTGATCAAATTGTGCCAATATCGCCGCTCCCCCGCCCACCTCCCTCTCTTGAACACCTTGGCCGGCTACCGCTGTATCAAATGAATAAAATCGGCAATGTGTGCAGGGTATAAAATTGTATATTGTTGCAGTGCCATAGTGCTTTGCAGCAACAGTAAAATGAAATAATATTACAAGTTCCCGAAAGTGGTCTTTTATATTTCATAATTTTGGACAATGTAATATCATGCCGGTACTACTAAGAATGAATTTATATAGAGTAAAAATGAAATACGTGAACTATTGAAGACAGGCAGACAGAAAGAAAGCGAGAAAAAAGAACGAAAGAAAGAACGAAAGAAAGAACGAAAGAAAAAAACGAAAAAAAAAACGAAAAAAGAAAGAAAAAAACCCGAAAGAAAGAAAAAAAGAAAGAACGAAAGAAAGAAATAAAAAAAAGAAAAGTATGTAACGCTCAAATCGTGTTACATTAATACAGCTTGACCATGTTTCATATTTTAATTGTTGTTGGGTCTTTCTTTCCAAATTGACACATAATTTTTTTTCTCCGACCTCCTCTTCTTCTTCAGAGAATTACCAACATGGATTTTCATACCGTGAGCAAAGAACGCAGGAAAAACTGGAAGGTGAGAGAGATTGGTATTTCACGTCGTTTACCTTATAACCTTTAGTTCCCCTCCTCTTTTCTAATTTTGTAATCCTGAAGTCATTCGTTCATCTAAATAATGAAATTTGGAAACCGATATATTTTTGCGACCATTGGGCATTTTGTGACGTTTGTTGTCGTTGTTGTTGCTGTTGTTGATGTTGTTATTGATGATGATGATGATGATGATGATGATGATGATGATGATGATGATGATGATGATGATGATGATGATGATGAAGATGATGATGATGATGATGGTGGTGGTGGTGGGGTATTTTTGGAAGGGGGGGGGGGGTAAGAACCTTTTATGTCCGCTTAGAAATGTATTTCTGTGTGGATTTAGTTGAAATACGTTGATCAAAGGCACAGAAAAATATAAATTTGCAGCCATTTCTCACTTACGCGTATTTTTACCTCTTACACCCGGCAACCCCCCCCCCCCCCAAATCACTTTCAATTGTAAATGTTTCGACTTCCGTTCAAGACAGATGAGTATATTTACAGAAAACTGCCCAAAGAATATAGGCCTACTCTTCCATACGATGTCTCTTTTGTCGTTAATAGCAACATTTGAACATGACATTGTGTATTATAGAATATTCTATTTTAAATATTATAATAACAGTTCAGTTATAGTTATATGCATCGTTCACTTAATCAGTTGTACAGTTTTATACTATATTTACGTCTGTCAAAATGTACCATTTAAGGTGTTTTGTGAGCATATAATGCCATGTCACAGTATATATATATATTTGTGGGTGGTTGGTGGGTGCTCTGGTGTGGTTTGCTCCTTTTTTCCTATCAAACATCTATGGTCCTTAT